CGCGCCTTTTTATCTCCACGAATAACGTGTCTCGATATTCGTATCAAAAGTTTCCATTCACGTAGCTCGCGCCATAGATCATTACAATTCCTCTTTTATCATATTCACGCCTCGACCTGCGTTGATAGGAGTTTTATCATGACTAGATATATTCTTGGAAAATCGTCTGGTTGAATTGGAATTCACCTCTGACGCGAATAAGAATGACTTCGGATCGGAAATATTCGCGAGCGAGTTCCCTTCTCCCCCTTTGCTTTGATTGCCAGGGAAATTACGTTTCGAGAGAAATTATTAAATTTTTGAAATAATTTTGAAAATTAGCAAAAGATATAATAATAAATTGGATTCTGAATTTGCTTTTGAATAAAATAAAAATTTATAATTTATTCGCATTGGGGCGTCGCATTTGTTATCACTTTGTAATCTTAACGAGTGAAATTATATTTGACGAAAAATGAAATAATGAATATATGATGGATATTTGATATAACGAAATATAATGAAAAAGACAGAAGATATTAATAAATATTTGGGGGTAAAAATGATTGAATTGGTAACGTTCGCGAGTGCATCGCATTGTTATTGTTCATTACAAATAAAATAATGGAAAATTAATGAAAATTTTGAAATGGAAAAATTAACGAGAGAAAAAAATTATTTCTTTTAATTCTGCAATTTTTAAAGGAATAGCGAAATAGTGAAAAAAAAATTTAAAAATGAAAGAAGAGTGGGCTTGAAATCGAAATAGAAGTGAGAAAATCGAGAGAAGGTGAACGAATAATGAAGCCGCGAGACTGGTAACGCGAATTGCAATGACTAATTCGGGAACAGCAAGCAAATGGCAAACACTCACCGCATTATTGGCCAATCAATGGCTTTATTGGATACTTTTAGATTATACGAGCGGTCTAGTCGATCCATTTGGAACACGATTCGACATATCGATGATCGTATAATTTCAATGTTACTCGACTGGTGTAATAAGCTACGAGCAATTAATTCATTTAAAAACGTAATATTATTTATTTTGAAAATATTCGATCAATTCTATAAATTTGATCAAACGATTTGATCAAAAGAATTTTAAAAGTGAGAATCAAATTTTCTTTATAATTCGATTGTATCTAAATGGAAACAATTTGAAATTGAAAATACTTTTATTCGATTAATCTTTATTGAAAAATAATACCTAAAAGCTTTTTTTTTTTCAAATAGATATTTGTTAGGTGCTTCATACATGCGAAAGAATCCAACTTTTTTTTAATAAATAATTTAATTCTAGTTTTGCGTTTCTTTTCAAGTTTTCTTTTTTTCAAGATTTATCTCCGAGTTCTTTCAGGATTTCTTTCCTATTTCTCCGCGTTTTCTTTTTTTTTATTTTTTTTTTTTTTTTTTTTTTTTTTTTTT